AGAAAGTTAAAATATAAAAAGCAAAGTTAGTACATCACATATGATTCTCATAAAAGTCATAATGGTTAGATTGGGGTTATGATATTTACTCGATTAGCGCAAGTTACATTCCATGTTCCAACATTTATTTACGTTAAGCAGCTCATCATTTCAAAAAAAAAAAATTATATATAATGCTTGCAGGCTTGATCGTTTCAGATTTGGCAATGGCTTAATGTTGTTTTCTAATTTGAGAAGGGTATTTTAGTACAATCATATAATTTTGATTTGCAAATAAGCTTTTAAATATTAAATTAGTTTAAGGGCGTGTTTGACATGGAGCTTTTGGAAGCGTTTGGGAGCTTCTAGCTTTTAGCTTTTGACAAAACGTTCTAGTTTAAACAAAAAGCTCTGTTTGGCAGTACGAGCGTTTAGCTTTTAGTTTAAACAAAACGCTCCAAATCTAAAAGCTACTTCATGCAGCGTTTAACAAAACGCTACTGAGTTTTTGAAATCAATTTCCATAATTACCCTTAAAAATATATTTATATATTTATTTATTTTTAATCAATTGTCCTTTTATGTAATTTTATATATTTCAAAAGCTTCCAGCTACTTTTACCAAACACTCATATAACAAATAAAACTTACAGCTTCCCGCTACCAGCTACCCGCTACCAGCTACCTGCTAACCGCTTCCAGCTAACAGCTACTTTTACCAAACACGCCCTAAATATAATTAAATTATGAATTTGGATATCGACGTGAGTTTTGTAGTTTCAAAAGGATATATACGTAATTTTAAAGTTTGCAAGGATATAAATGTAATATTTAAAGTTTCTAAAGATATAAACGAAATTATATAAACCAAATTCTCCCAATAAAAAGAAATACATATATATATAATTATAGTCCTATAAACGGTTTTATTTCATTTTAAAAGCTTCTTAATATTATTTTCTTAAAGTTTAGAGGATTAAAGGTTTTTTTTTCACTTCAAATTAAAGTAAATATTTTTCCACCAAAGGGCTTTTAGCCTAGCGGTATCCGATGTTGCCATTTCTCCTTGAAGTTGAAGGTCCCGTCGTATGGATATAGATGAATTTAAGGTGTACCGATTAGATTTGTCGTTTCAAAATATATTTTTCCACAATCTTTAATCGATCTGAAAGCAGCGAGAACAAACCTTCCACCGTAAAACAGAGGAAAAGTGGTGGGAGAGGCATCGAACGACCAGAAGATAGATTGAGAGGGAGAGAGAGATATCGATTAAGAAGTCAGATTGAAAGACAGAGATCAACAATAGACATTTGCGGGAGAGATCCGATTGAAATATGGGTTGTTGTTCATCCGTATTCCATATCCAAGCGATACAAATGAGTAAAATTGGCGATCTCAAGGCTTCGATTCCGAACCCATAAGTCGATTTCCAAAATTGTGTGGGGTAATCTTGACGAAACGACGTGAATGACTCATTTTCTATAAGATTCAACCCCTGAAACGCAGATACACTTACATGAATGATATGGGACATTTTTGGGATCACAATGGCGTTAAATTCAAGCTTTTTTGCTGTTTTGAAGCATTTGAATGAAGCAAATCGAATTATTGCTGGTACGAATTGATAGGAATTAGTCATTGAGTTGTTTTATGGACCAAGATTTTAAGGTAATTATGAATTTGAAGGGAATGTCTTCGTTTTATTTCATAGAAGCACGAAAGAAACCCATAAAAGCTGTGACATTTTTCCTGAAATCACTTTCTTTTATTCTGTATTCTGACTGTTTTCAACCATTGTTTTTTTAAGGATGGAGGTGGTTGAAGCAGGCGAAAGGTAAGGGACTATGGTGAAGGTGGTGGTGGAAGGTTGACGGTGGTGGTGACTGGAGGTAGATTATAGTGGAGGTGGTGGTGGAAGGTTGAATGTGGTAGTGATCAGAGGTGGAAGACAACCTTTGGACTTTTAGCAAGGAAGAAGATCAATTATGCATTTCTGGCAGTCTTCATTGATGACAAGGCTAAGGGGTAATCGGTTACACCTCCAGTTTTATGAAAATGATCATTTTAACTCAAAAAAATCTAGAGTAAATTATACAAATGGTCCCTATGGTTTGGGATAATTTGCACGCTTGGTCTCTAACTTATTTTTTTAACTCGGAAGGTCCCTACTGTTTATTTTTGTTACACGTTTGGTCCCTGTTTTACATAAAAAGATTATTATTTAAATAGGGAAAAATGGTGGGGCAGGTGAGGTAAGGTGAAGAGGGTTGGGTTGGGGATGTGTTTATTTAAATAAATTAAAAAATCAAGAGCAAAATAGTCTTTTTAGGTAAGACAGGACCAATCGGGTAACAAAAACAAACAATAGGGACCTTCCGAGTTAAAAAAATAAGTTAGGGACCAAATGCACAAATTACCCTAAACCATAGGGACCATTCGTGTAATTTACTCAAAAATCTAGTTTATGCCCCTAAACTAAAAAAAAGACAAAAGTGACATTTTAAACCAAAACATGATACTTTATAGGGCCTTATTGACATTTTCCTTTTAGAAAACAAACTCCATGTACTTTAAACCTGCTATAAGTGACATTATGGTTCTTTAGGAAAGCTATATGAGGGATTAACTTAATGGTTTTATACTAACTGCTCAAAACAATACATAATATGAATACAACCATACAACATGTGTAGCAAATAGCAATAGCAATAGCTCCTAATCCTTAGTTAAAACATGGGATTGTTTTTAACTTCCACGATTATGTTTTTTCGAAAGAGAACTTCCAAGATTATGTTTGTATATTTCACAATGAAACTCGGGATTATTTGTAACTTCAAGATAAAGAAAAGTATAATTCTCATGTCCTCTAGTTACTTAATGTAACATATCCTTAGTGCTCTTTAACAAATTAATACCATATCAGAAATCAAGGAGCAAAATGAGAATCTGGCCTATAACTGTTACATATCAATCTATCAGTTACCAAAATAACGAGTACTCTTTTTGGCCGAAGGGTTGATGTACAAGGAAAAAATAGGGCTTTTATTTATTTATTTTTTTTGTTTATTTTCACTCAGCGGATTATATTTATATGTGTATTAGCAAAAAGTGCTTTGGATAACTAATTCAACGTTTGCTATTTTTCTTGCAGAATTTGTGTTAGAAGCATTCCAAAAAAGTTCACCCCCTTATAAAATGGCTTGCAACCCATCGCAACAACCGATAAAGTTTAATGTTGATGATCTTCACAGGGTTATGGACTTGAAGGATAACATCTGTAACATGTCTGTTGCTGGACAACTTGGACATGGTAGTATAACATCTCAAGTCAGTTTTTGCTAACATCTATTTTATTTTTGTTAATTCTTTATTAATTATCATTCATCTGTTAACATTAACAGGAAAATCCACTTTGATTGATTCCCTTGCGACTGCTGCGGGCATCATCCCATGTGATGATGATGTCCACATGACCTACACCCGTGAGGACGAGGCACAACGTGGTATGACCATCAAGTCATCCGGGATTTCCCTCTACTATAAAATGACCGATGTAGCCCTTGAAGCATTCAAGGGAGAACGCAACGGAAATGAGTACCTCATCAATCTCATTGACTCACCCGGGCACGTTGACTTTTCATCCGAAGTCACCGCCGCCCTCTGTATCACCGATGGCGCTCTTGTCGTTGTCGACTGTATCGATGGCGTTTGCATCCAAACAAGACACGCCCTTCGCCTGGCACTCGGTGAAAGAATCCCACCTGTATTGGCCCTCAACAAAATGGATCGTTGTTTCCTTGAACTGAAAGTTGATGGTGAAGAAGCGTATCAAACTTTCTTAAGAGTCATTGAAAACTACAATGACGACATGAAGCCCTTTGAGGATCCGGTTTTAGGTGATGTCAAGGCGTGCCCCACGAAAGGTAACGTCGTGTTTTCATCGGGGCTCCACGGCTGGGGATTTACATTGTCAAATATCGCAAAAATATACGGGTCTATATCCGGTGTCGATGAGTCAACGTGGATGAGAAAACTTTGGGGTGAGAACTATTATGACTCGAAAACCAAAGCGTGGACCACAAAGAGTACAGGCTCCGCAACCTGCACACGTAGGTTTGTTAAGTTCTGTTATGAACCCATTAAGCAGGTAATTGAGGCATGTATGAATGACCAGAAGGATCAATTACGGGGCATGCTAACTCAAATCGGTGTCACGATGAATAATGAAGAAGAGGAGTTGATGGGTGAGGCATTGATGAAATGCATCATGCAGAAATGGCTTCCGATTGCTACTCCTTTACTTGAAATGATGATATTTCATTTTCCTTCACCCCAGACTGCTCAAAGATACCGGGTTGAAAATCTATATAAAGGCCCTTTGGATGATCCGTATGCTACTGCTATAAGAAACTGTGATCCCGATGGCCCTCTCATGCTCTATGTATCCAAAATGATTCCTACATCCGATGACAAGAGTCGGTTTTGTTAGGAATCGGACCGAGTACATGCAGCGGAAACACTATCACACACACAAACACACGAAGGAAATAAAGCAAGAAGGAACACAAGGATTTTACGTGGTTCGGATTCGGTGTAAATCCTACGTCCACGGGCTGCAACTAGATTTTCTTATTAACTCAATAAGATTACAATTTATAACTCTACAAGTTATATTTGATGCACACATTCTCTGCTACACAACACACACACACACATATATATATATATATATATATATATATATAATATATATATATAGGAGAGAGAGCCGTACTTTCTTTTGTTTACACAAATTGCCGTCCAAAATTTTCCTTCAATTCACATATTGTGAATATAATATTGCGGCCGTCCATTACCGACCATGCAAAAAATGCGTCCAATAATAAACAATTGATTTGCCGACATATACGTCCATTCAATATTAAATAATTGAATTGTTTAAAATTGTCAAGTTACATTTATGGCCCTTGAACTCTTAGGAACTTGTCAATTTGTTCAAGACTCCATAAATCTTAACAATCTCCCACTTGGAGGCTTGAACAAATTAGTCTTTCTCTGTCATCCAACTCTTAATTATTCCAGTAATCTTAAAAAACAACCAAGTCCTTTTAGGCTTCCAGTTCCAATGAACAAGCTAAAACTTAGTCTGATTTCTCTAGTTGCAGCCACCCCTCATCATCAATTACTAGAAGGGCCAGTTGAAGCTCCCACTAGCTCCAACTCAGTCGTGGCTAATCCTACCACCGACTCATCCTCTGTCTCAACCGGTTTGGACACTCCACCTGATCCAGAGATACACCGAGGACCACTAACACTCTCCAAACATAGCAAACATCCAACAGGAGAGAAATTTTCAGTCTTAGTCTTCAAAACCCAACGGCTCTTTGTAACTGTACCCGGAACACGCCCCGTGCTCCCACTGTCACAGAATCTCCTGAATGGTTTAGACTTTCGAACTCGTTCAGCTAACATCCACTTGGCTCCAGAATTCATGTTTGCAAAATGAAGTCTCTTAGCACTAGATTTAGCGAACCAGATTTTGTCTTGCTTAACAGGGACGGTCATACTTCCCTCAGCAGGTACCTCAACCATATACAATGACCCACACTTCATACCACGAGCAATCACCATATCACCATTGACCACCCTCCATTTACCACTACCAAACCTTACTTCCAGTCCTTGTTTATCCAGCTGACCAACAGAAATCAATTTCTTCTTCAGCTCCGGAATCACCCTGACATCCTTCAGGCTCCATGTAGTTCCTAATGAAGTAACCAAATCAATATCTCCCATGCCCGTTACCTGAAGCATCTCGTCATTTGCCAAACGTACCTTTCCAAAATCTCCTTCTTTCAAATTCACCATCGTTTCCCCGTTGTCCATGGCGTGAAACGAAGCCCCTGAATCCATGACCCAAGAGTCTACAGAACTTTCCATACTGAGTATCAATGCATCATCCTCAGGACACACTCTCAGCACCAGCAATGTTCAATTCTTTCTTTGGACATTGACTCTTAACATGTCCCACTTCTTGACAGTTCCAGCATTTCACATTCTTCAAAGTTCTAGAAGAACTTTTCCCCCGACTCCCACTGCTCCTGCTATTCCCTCTACCTCTTCCGACATTTAATAAATCAGAAGAGGAAGATCCACCTTGATTCTTGCGTCTGATATCCTCGCCTAGAACCAAATCTCTAACCCCTTCAAAAGTCATACCACTGGTCCCCACGGAACTCGTAACAGCAGTAACTGTTCCGGACCAGCTATCAGGTAGAGAAGCTAGTAGCAGCGAAGCTTGAGTCTCATTATCAAATTTAATTCCCACAGATGATAATCTGGACAGAATTGAATTTAGATTATTAATGTGAACCGTAACTGAGCCTTCCTCATTCATCATTGTAGTGAACAACTCCTTCATCAAGAACACCTTGTTAGCCGCCGATGGTTTCTCATACATATTTGACAGAGCCTCCATCATACCACGCGCCGTGGTTTCATTCATGATGTTGAAAGCAACGCTCTTCGTCAATGACAATGTAATAACCGCCTTGGCTTTCTTGTCCTTTGAGTTCCACGCATCTTTAAAAGCTTTTTCCATTTTCTCCGGTTTGTCTCCGAGTACCATGTCCAAGTCTTTCTGACATAGCAATGCTTCTAATTGCATTTTCCACCAGCTAAAATCAGAACCGTTGAACTTTTCGATTACAACCTTGTCTTCAGCCATTATGACAAACAAGAGACAAATCAGGTACACTCGTGCGTGATAAAAAAAACGATCGTACACTCCAAACCTTGCTAACTGATACCAGTTGTTAGGAATCGGACCGGGTACATGCAGCGGAAACACTATCACACACACAAACACACGAAGGAAATAAAGCAAGAAGGAACACAAGGATTTTACGTGGTTCGGATTCGGTGTAAATCCTACGTCCACGGGCTGCAACTAGATTTTCTTATTAACTCAATAAGATTACAATTTATAACTCTACAAGTTATATTTGATGCACACATTCTCTGTTACACAACATATATATATATATTATATATATATATATATAATATATATATATATTATATATATATATATATATATATATAGGAGAGAGAGCCGTACTTTCTTTTGTTTACACAAATTGCCGTCCAAAATTTTCCTTCAATTCACATATTGTGAATATAATATTGCGGCCGTCCATTACCGACCATGCAAAAAATGCGTCCAATAATAAACAATTGATTTGCCGACATGTACGTCCATTCAATATTAAATAATTGAATTGTTTAATAATTGTCAAGTTACATTTATGGCCCTTGAACTCTTAGGAACTTGTCAATTTGTTCAAGACTCCATAAATCTTAACAGGTTTTTTGCTTTAGGTCGGGTTTTCGCAGGTCGGTTTGAAGGTCAGGATCATGGGTCCTGGCTATGTCGATGGTGAAGACAAGGATATGTATGTTAAAAGTGTCGAAAGAACCGCTATCTGTATGGGGAAAAAACAAGAAACCATTGAAGATGTTCCATGTGGAAACACAGTCGCGTTGTTTGGTTTGGATGAATTAATCACCACCGGAAGTGCAACACTAACAGGTCAGAAAGAAACCGAGGCGTGGCCGATTTGCGCAATGAAGTTCTCGGTGTCCCCGGTTGTCCGTGTTATAGTCCAATGTAAGGTTGAATCCGAACTCCCGAAACTTCTTAAGGGTTTAAGGAGTCTCGCCAAATCCGACCCTTTGGTTGGGTACACGCTCGAAGAATCTGGCAATTATACTATTGGTGTTGTGGGGGAAATGAATCTAGCGATATGTTCGAAGGATTTGGCGGAAGATTATATGGGTGGGGCGGAAATCCTTGTGTCCGAGCCGTATGTGTCGTTATATGAAACTGTTGTTGAGAAATCCTCACATCTGGTTATGACTAAGTCTCGAAATGGAAATAACCAATTGTTCATGAAAGCAAGATCACTTGATGACAGTTTAGGTTATGCGATAGAAATTGGGGAAGTCGGTCCGTCTGACGACCCAGACGTTCGTGGAAAGATTCTCTCCGAAGAATACGGTTTGGAAAAATATCTCGGAAAGAAGATCTGGTGTTTTGGTCCTGAAACAAACGGGCAAAACATGGTTGTCGATATGCGTAAGGGAGATAAGTCCGTGAAAGAAATTGAAGATTATATTGTTGCTGGTTTTCAGGAGGCATCTAAAAAAGGTGCTTTAGCTAATGAGCCAATGAAGTGTATATCTTTTGAGGTGCGTGATGCGGTACTTCATGATGATGCGTCCCACCTTGATGGAAGCGAGATGGTCGAGGCTGCCAAGCGTGCGATATACGCGTCTCAACTGACTGCGCAACCGCGGTTTATGTAACCGCATTACGTGGTTGAGTTCCAAGCATCATCTGAAGAAGAGGTTGACAAGAGCTGCAAATTGGTGAGAAAAAAGGGTGGATTTGTTCATGAAAAGAAAAAAGTTAATAGGCCGGGGAAAATGGTGTATGACATATGGGCATATGTTCCTGTGTTAAAGTCCTTTGGATTTTCTGCTGCTTTGGAGGAGGCTACTTCGGTGAAGCTTATCCCACAATGTGTGTTTGAATTTTGGTCTGTGGTGCGTTCGGACCCGTTGGAGGTTGGTTCGTATGCGCATGCGCTTATGACCCAAATTCGCAAGAGGAAAGGACTAAACGAGCAGATGACACCGTTGTCTGACTTTGAGGACAAGCCGTAAGCAGGTGCGAACCCTTGCAGTAGCATATCGGGTTTAAATTTTTTTAAAAATCATCGTTTATTTATTTGTTTGTTTTAGCATCCTACTTCCATTTTTCTATTTATTACAAGATTATTAAAGCACTGTACTTTGAACAATTTACCTAGTTATAGTAGTGAAAATTAATTTATGTTTGAATGACATTGCTATAATTGGTTAGATTTAAGTTTCTATACACTCAAAAATTGGTTGCTACCTTTGTTGTTTTCTCTAATTACTTGATTGCTATTATATATATGTGGATGGTTCCTGTAAAAAATTGGTGTTACCTCACTCCCATTTCTCCTTTGGTCGGGCATTTTTTCACTTATGTTTCATTTGTCTGAATTTTTCTTTCTTTATTTTGTACTTTGATTAGTATTACAGAGTAAGAAAGATGAAAATATGAACTGATTTCGTTAGACTGAAAGTTTACACCATCTAACATCTTTATAAAACTCGTGTAAGTAACAGAGAAGACAGCAAACTGTAATAAAAAATTCTAACTACCTGATTTTTTATAATCCAATCATGTCTCGTGTGACAAAAGAAGCCTTAAAAACTATATTTTGTAGAAATTAATGTTAAAACAATATTTTATATCCTTGAATTTTAGAAGATTTTTTCATTTTGTTCAAAACAGATAACATGTTTATTAGTTTAGGTTGTTCAAATAACAACTTATATGTATCAACTATCAAGAGTTTGATGATCATTCAACTTTATCCATGAATTACTATGGTATTTTTGGTCCAGTTAGAAAAATAGAATATCCTGTAATCAGAAAAGAAACAAAAAATACACATTGCTAATTTCATTTTTGGTCCTTCTTAAGTGTTACAACTTCATAGTTACTTAAACAAGGTCTATATCAGTTAATTCTTTTAGATAGGGATACAAAACAAATTTTCATTGTAGTTGTTGGTTATAATTTTCAAAGTAGAATGTCATTGTAAGAAAATAAGTGAAAGTACAATGCCATGATTGGGTGCATTTTGCAATTTGTGTCCTTATTTTGTTATTTCATAATGATTTTGGTCTATGAATGAAAATAGTATCCTGTAATCAGAAAATATATATTAAAGTACATTGTTGTCATTATAAGAACATACTTTCATTTAGTGGTTGATTATAACACTGTACTTTCATGTGTATGTCTTTTGCTGAAAAATGACTAAATACTTGCAAATCTATGTTGTGTTTAGCATGAAAACGGTGCTGGAACACGTAATAAGGACCAAAAATGCGAATCTTTTTTCTATACCGGCAAATTTTCAGTTGCAACCCTTGGAATATTTGTAGGTATTCTCTTTTTAAATAGTTCGTATAAACAAAAATTACAACATATTTTTTTTTCTTGTTTCAGTTTTCTAGCAAAATTGGCAAGTTCTATGTTCTCGGGTAAAATGACCAAAACGGTTGTCAAAACTCATGGAAAGAAAAAAGTACATAAGAGAAATAATATTCGAAAAAAATGTCCAAATCGGCAATTGCTACTTTCCTGTTTTCTGGAGAAAAAAAATGACACATTTCTGTTATCTACAAAAAAGACCAAACTACCACTATTTGATTTTGGAAAAATGACCAAATTGCGACTTTTCTATTTGTTTTTTGAAAAAAGGACCAAACAAATTTCAAAGTAGGTTACTATTTTTGACAGTTTTTGAAGTTGGAAATCTGTTAAATAGTATCCTACTTTGAGATCGTGCAGTTTCACATGTATTTACCATTTTTCAGTTTTACATGTTTTTGTCATTATCCATTTTTACCGTTTTCTACTTCTTATTTCATTTTCATCATGATAAGAATAATGAGGATATTCACGTCTTTTCCGCATATTAGAGATAGAGAGCAAGTTGCCCCACCTTTTGAGTGAGAAATATTGTAAATCTTTTTCTCTTCACATAAGTCCCGATCTCAGTCCAATAACGCTTCTACAACTATCATTGAATGATGTACACACCACCAAAGAAATATTATTGCAAGATATGTATTTTTAACTTCATATTTTTGTTCATTTTTTTTTCAGATTTAGTTGTATACAAAGAAGTGCTTGCAAGGTTATGGTTAATTGTTATGTTTTTTATTTTTTATTTTTTTATTATTTTATTTTTATTATCTATGTTATTTTAACTTGTCAACCGTATAGTATATGGGTTTTAACATAGTTTTTTAATGTATAAAGATCTAAATGTATGGATGTGTTCAAACTTTTTGTATCTTGTCTTGTAAATTGACATATCATCTATTAGAAGTTTAAACGTTTTTTATTATGCAAAAGTTCGCATGTTTAAAAAAATGGAATGTCTTTTAAATTAGGAAAAGTTTTTTTTTCACATAATAAATAAAAATGAATATTAATATGGTTGGTGTATTCAATTCTAGGTCATTAAGCCTTAAAACTATTATAGTACCATTCAAACAAACTGCATCCTCAACTTCGTTTCGATTTAGTCGTTACATTTTTGGTCAAGTACGATCATGTGTGAATATCTTATTATCTTTAAATATTATTAAAAGAGAACATTTAATTCACCAATAAAGCAATCAGAGCCCTTGATTGTGTTTTAATCTTATGTTTTCCACCCTTAGATCAAATTGCTGACATCATCTTCCACAAATAAAATTCAAATACAATTATATTTAATTATAAAATCTATAATAATTATAGAATCTCTAAATTCAGTAATTATTTTATCAATTGAAACATATCATTCTATTTATATACATGATATCAGTTTTTCTAATTAATATTGTTCCTAATTTAACTCCTTTATTTATAGCTTTTGATTTCCAAATTCAAACTCGTTTACATTTTATTATTTATTTATTTATTTTAAAAAACTCATTAAACAAGCATATCAATAATTAAGTTATTAACTTATAAAATCTAATCTAAGCCCACTAAATCAGCAAAATATTTAAGTGTTAAAATTAAAGTCAATTTTATTCATAATTTATCTCCCAGTATATCTCACATAAAATGAATCAATTTGAGATAATTGTTTGAATTTTAAAACTGATTAAATAAGAAAGTCAATTAATTTGAAGTTTTGAATTAATATAGTTGATATCTTTCTTTTTTTCCAGATGAATAACCGAAAATCTCCAAGATGAGATCTTAGGATCCCAAATTTTTTAGAAGATAATGATTTCCTTATTCAAAAACACTTATATATACGATTACACTGAAGTGGTTATTCTTACGATTTTGGATTGAGTCCTATGATTTACAGTGTTCTTCTTGAGCAATCTTCTTCTCCAATTCTTTTTTCCAAGCTCTTACTTTACTATGTTCTCCTTATTCTTCTTCAATTTCTTGCATTTACTATGTTCTTCTTATTTGTTATTACTGTGTTCTTGTTGAGAGGTCATGAAAAAAGTAATCAATCTACTTTAAGCATATTAGTTTCATTCATTTAGTTACAGAAACAAAATTATACACTTTATATCGATTTTTTAATGTATTGATCTATGTTTGTCAAGAAAAAGCCATAAAAGTCGTTTTAATGCATGATGACAAAGTTAGTGGTACGGACCAAAAGCAGGATAAAAAAGTTTTTTATTGTTACACTTCAACTTGCATGAACAAAGACGTATCTGTTGTTCCAAGGATTTCAATAGCTCTTTTATACATATTATTATAATCTTCGATTAAAATTTTCTAATTTTATATTATTGAATTTGTTTATATCAATGATTTTAGTTTCAAAATCACCATTATAGTACAAGACTTTACCGACATGGTGTCACTTACGTTATTTGATCGTGACACAAAGAAACTTCTGGAAAAAAACACAGAAGAGTTGCTTCAAAGTTTAATGAGGTTATCAATATTAACTTCATTTACATAAAACTAATTTTTACTTTTTGTTTGTCTATTTTTATAACCGTTAATTTTTTCATTTTTAGGAGGGTAATATGAAGATTTATTCGTCTGCTTTGAAATTACTTTTGGATAAAAAGTTGGCATTCAAAATTCAAATTTCTCATTATAATTTGAAGAGTAATGTTGATGGTTATGAATCTCAAACTTCAATGTTGATAATAAAATCACTATTGAATTGGAAAAAAAAATTAACATCGAACATGTAACATTCTTTTACGAAACATACTATAAACACTACACTTATTAGATTCGTTTTTTATATTTTAGTTGATCAACTAACATATTTTTATGTACTACAAATATAGGCACCGTAATCTGATTCGTTTAACGTTTTATCGGCGAAATTCGGATGTCAAGACACATTAAATTTAAAGGTTTTAAATACAATATAACTAAATCTAATATTTTAAATACTTTAAAATATTATTAACTTTTAGATTGACATATGAATTTATTTTCTATATTTAGGATGCAGTTTCGTTTATTGGGGAAAACGTCACACCCGCTTCGAATCTTGATAAAAGTATTGCAACAAGTCCACTAACTAAGTGGACATCCTTTAAAAAACTGTCTAGACATGAAGAATTAAAACACAACTTGGAAGATGTTTATGATGTTGATAATCTGGAAATAATGTCCTCAACCAAACGATCATTAACATCAATAACAGATCGTACTTCTGGAGAAGGCAAGCCAAAACTGTTAATTCCAAAGAAAGAAAAATAATATATGATTTTCATGATTTTATATGAGTAGTTTTGGTGATTTGATTACGGATGATTTCATATTATGTTTACATACTATTTGGTTTTTGGGTTAGGTTTTTGATTACTTTGTTTCATACTATTCGTTTTTTGGATTAGAATTTTGATCATTTAAATACATTTTGAGTTTTATGAAATGTTGAATTATTCATCTATTTGTCTTTTGGGTGTAAACTCATATGAATTTAGAATTTTAATCATTTTTTACTCTATTATTCCGTTTGAATGTGAATTTGTCAGCATTGTTACAATGTTATTCATTACAACTTCAATATAAATATTAGCAAACTACAACTTTTTATGAAATTATAACTTTTATAAATCTTTTA